GAAGAACTCAAAACTATTTGTATCCCTTTAGTTTCTTTTGTCTAATTGCTCCAGAGTTTCAAAGACTATGTTGCCTTGAAGTTGAAAGAGGGAATCCCTGTCTTGTCCCAGTTTTTAGAGGGAATGATTCTAATTTTTCTCCATGTAGAATGATGATGGCCTTGGGTTTAGCATAGATAACTTTTACAATGTTGAAGTATGTTCCTACAATCCCAAGTTTTTCTAGTGTTTTTAATATGAAAGGGTACTGTGTTTTGTCAAATGTCTTCTCTGCATCAATTGGTATAACCATATGATTCTTATCTTTAAGTCTATTGATGTGATGAAGTATATTTATTGATTTCTCTATGTTGAAACAATCTGGCATCCCTGGAATGAACTCCACTTGATCATGGTGCACTATTTTTAAATATATTTTTTTATGTGCTTTGCTAGAATTTTAGTGAGAATTTTTGCATCAATGTTCATCAGGTATATTGGTCTGAAATTTTCTTTCCTTAATGTATCTCTGCCTGGTTTTCATATCAGGATAATACTAGCTTCATAGAATGAGTTTGGAAGAGTTCATTCCTTTTCTATTTCATGAAATAATTTCAGGAGTATTGGCATTAATTCTTCTCTACCTTGTGAACTTACAGCATTCCTGAACATTTCTACTACCTTACTGTTTAGGGGGGAGACAAATAATAACAGTAACCAGGGCACACAACATCTGGCATTAAACCAAATAAATCCTGTGATGATGTCTATAATGGTAATTATCACAATAAACAGAAATGATATAATCAATTATTGCCTAAAATTTTAAAAAAGTATACTTGCAAAAGGGTTACAATTTCAAATGGTAGACAGGGAGAGAACAGAAATGATAAAGGATATGATGATTATGAGGGAGGAGAAGAGAAGACAGAAGTAAAATCTAAAGGAAGCGTGAGAAAGAATACCAGAGACTGGCTATTAGTAGAAGAGACAAAGAGAATCAAGGGCACATGATGAAGACACGAGTTGGTGTGAATATACTTTGTATACAGGCAGAGATATGAAAAGTTGTGCTGTATATGTGTAATAAGAATTGTAATGCATTCCGCTGTCATATATAAATAAAAATAAATTAAAAAAACTACAATTGCAAAATAAGTAATCAAGGACAACAGGCAAGAGAGAAAAAAATGAAGTAAAAAATTTAAAAATAAAAATAAAACAAAACTGAAATATAATAATCAAACATTCTATTCCTCAAAAAACTGATCCATAAAAAGCAACTGGCTTCAAAAATGCTATAAATAAGAAAGAAAAGATATGAAGATGTATAAATATCATGAATCATTAAGATCACAATTAAACAGAGAAAAGAAAGGAAGAAGGAGAGAAAAAAATCTCATTGAAAAGTTAAAGAATTATTTCCCTTGGAGTTCAAAAGCTTCTCAGCTTCTCTTCTTAGCAGTGTTGGTTGGGGTTCTCTGGAGTGTGATGCTCCACCCTTGGGTAAATTTCTCAAGTGAGTGAGGGAATCCTGTATGCAGAATTCCTAGAAGCAGGGTTTAGGCTTAGGTGGGCTCCAGTTTCTTTGCTGAATACAAGCTGGTCTGGAGATTTTAAATCAGCACATCTCCAGGGACCAGAAATTGCAGTCTATGCTAGAAGATTCCACCTCAGAGATCTCCCCTGGGCTCTACACATGTGGTGGAGGAGGCAATTCTTAGTCCCCTACATCACCTGTGGACCCCATGTTTTCTGGTCTCAGTTTCAATCTCCAAATTCAGTCTATCTCACTTCCACCTTTTGAATTCTCAGCCAGGCCCACCTTTCCCAGCCAGCCCTGAAAGCAGCCAGATTGGAGGGGAGAGGGAGAGCCAGGTAGGTTTCTGCAACCAGTTGTCTCCACATTTGATTTTCTCCAGTCACTTAGGCATGCTCTATGTCATGCAATGGGGGTTTGCCAGGCCTGTATTTTGGGTCAATCTCAGGTTTACCAGTAATCCGCTCCCCCAGCAGCTGACCCCATGCTGAAGCTGCATAATGGTTCCTTTCACTGTCCTCTGCAGATAGCTTGGAGAGATGCGACTTCTTTCCTGCACAAGGATATTGTGCAGTGTACCTTTCAGTTTAGTTGGGCGGTGTCTTTGATCTCTAAACTCTCTATACCCAGACATACCCCTGGATTCCAAAATGTGGCTTCCTTTAATTCCCTTATCCCTCCATTCTGTTTGCAGAGTGACTACTCTGGCTGGTTTCTCCAGCCAAGGCAGCATCTGTGGCTCTGGGATTTTTTTTTTTTCCTTTTTCTCTTACTTCCAACCTCCCAAGTCCCCAATCTGCTCTAAACATCCACTATAAAATTCCAATAACAACCCTCAATTTTCTTTTTGTTCACCCACTCTGTTTGGATTCTACCTATCTGCTTTCTTGGTTGCATGCCATAGAGCAGTCAGCAAAGTGATCTTCTCTAGTCTGCCATCTTGAAACTTTGTACATTATGTTTGTAAGACTAATCTTTTAAATCTGTATGATTTGCTCAAAGTCTTATGTATATCATTCTACAGGAAAAGTATACAACCTACACTTACAATATGAACATTATTTATCCTAAGGTACTACATATTTTCATGTTTGTTTTCAAGAGAGACAAAGTAAAAGATGATTATTGTTAAAAGATGGTTTAGCAATGACAAAATTAGGAAGAATATAGCAATCATTTTTTATAAGAATCATTCAAACCATAAATGCATACTATGAAATTCCCATAGTCTATTACTCTGAAAGAAGGCACATGATAAATGTTTGTCATACATATCAATTCCTATTGGGTGCCTAAAATTTTGTCCTGTTTTTTAAAAAATGGCCCCCTATTTTTGTGATGATAAAACTAGACTGCTGTACCACTTCATTGCCATTTTATAGTGAAATATTAGATGAATATTGGGTCAGGAGGATTAATAGACTTATGATCATAAATTGCTGTGCAATGAGCTATGCTTAGGCAATAAATATTTTTATTTAACCTTTAAAAGTTTATGTCATAAAAATGATTTCATTATGTAAGCCATCAAATATATATGGTCATTTTCTTCTAATATCAGAAATTCATAATACTTTTTTCTAACTCTCTAGATGATTTTCTGCCTTTACTTGACCTTAAAAACAATATTCCAATCTTTATTCTAAACACCACACTTAAATCAGACATTAGTTTTCTAAAGTATCCTGTTAAACAACAATAATTTTCAAATAATAATTGTTAGAGGTAACTGTGTCAAAACATACAAACAGGGCTGGGGTTGTGGATCAGTGGTACAGTGCTTGCCTAACATGTGTGAGGCAATGGGTTCAATTCCCAACACCACATAAAAATCAACAAACAAATAAAGGTATTGTGTCCATATACAACTAAAAATAATACATTTAAAACACACACACACACACACCTAAAATGTCAAGAAAAAAAGTAGAGCCTGCAGAATTCCAACAGTGGTATCATTTTTGCCATAGTTGTTGAATAACCGAATAAAGAGCACTGCAGAAATAGTCTACACTGAGTTTAACTTCTTTTATTAATGTACCTTTAAGTCTTCCTTGAATATGATAATGATAAGGACCACAAAAATCAGCAAGACAATAAAGAAACAGTTAAACATATTACTGAGAAAGAAAGGTGTTATAACTATTTTCCAAAGCAAGTAGAGATCAAACTTCAGGACTAGGAAGACATAATAAATCTCTTCCTACTATTGTAATGAGATGCCACAATAATGTTCAGTTAGAAGCTCTAAGTGGACACCATGTGCAGTTTGATGTATAAATATAATGTTTTAATTTCACAGTTTTGTGCATGTATGTGCATGCACATGCCCTAGGGCATGAACCCAGAACCTTGCTCATGCTAACCGTGCATTCCCACTGAGCTATATCCTCTAACCCTCACATAGCAATGACATAAATTATTTACTCACTGATTTGAGTTTTGTGCCCATGTGATTGAGGTTAAGGAGTACAAGTATTTTTTTGTTTTTGTTTTGTTTTTTTCCTTTTTGGCACAGGGGATTGAACCCAGAGGGGATTAACCACAGAGCCACATCCCAACCCTTTTTAAAAAATATTTTATTTGGGACAGGGTCTTACAGAGTTGCTTGGACCTCACTAAGTTGCTGAAGCTGGCTCTAAACTTGCAACCCTCCTGCCTCAGCCTCCTGGGCTGCTGGGATTACAGGTATGCTGGTTTTTTCTTTTCTTTTTTTTTCCTTTTAAATTTTAAGTCACTTCTTATTCTATCCATGTTTTAAAGGGGTTACTAGCTTTTTGGACTGATAAAAATCATTTCACTTAAAATTTATGCTGTCCCAAAATTAACTGTTCATTTTTTCTTTCATTAATTCACTTGTACATTCTTCAATCCACTGTTTGTCTGTCTTTGCACCCATCCATTTATCACACAGTGTGCACAGTCAACACTTAATTGACTCTTAAGCCTATGGTGGGACATTGGAATGTTTCACTTTTTGCCACACTCACTGTCCAATTTCTGATTCTCTGGAAGAGCCATAATATTGGGGGAAAATGTTCTTTTCTATTTAAATTAATGCAGCTATAGCCCATAAAATTCAGTGAAAAATAACTGTAAGAATGTTCAGAGTTATATGTATGTTACAAAATATTAATTACCAATTGCTATTTCACCTGGAATAGCAATGTCACTGAGTCCTTCATGAGCTAAATTATAGTTTTGCTATATTCCTGATTCAACATTACTCCCTAATTTAAAGAGAAATATCACCAAAATAATGTCTCAACAATTGACCTTTTCCTTAATTCCATACACTCTCATGCCTTTGAAAATGCTATTTCTCATGGTACCTACCTACACCTTTCACATTTTCTTCCCTTCATATGTAAGCCCAACACCTAGGAAGCTCCTACTCATCTCTCAAATTTTAGAAAAGTTAAAGTCAAACAAAAACATTACCAAAATTAGATTAAGGAAACAGAACATAATGCAATCTCACCTGTATCTTGTACAAGTAGCATTCTGACTTGATGGAGCTACTGGTTTGAAAGTGATATGGGGAGAAACCTGGGCTGACAGCAGAAATCCCAGAGCAAGAATAATGAGTGCCACAGTAGTACCTAGGGGGGAAAAATGTTTTATATCAGAGAGAAGTTTGACAACATTTTTCCAAAGAAGACTGGATTTCATATATCATACCTCTAAAAATACCTTGATTTATCTTCTCTGGATTAAAATAAAAGTTTCTACTATCTAAACAAATTATCAGAAAAGCTCACTAGGACATTTTCAGACATGAGGAGAGTAAAATTCAAAGCAAATACAATTATGAGTCAAAAAGAAAACTGATGATTCTCCTCTAAAAACAAAACAAAAGAAATACAAAGCAAAAACAACCAAACACTTAGAATTACTGGACGTCTTAAAGTAAGCAACATTACAGAGAGTCTAACAAGTCAGGAAAAACAAAACCCAACAGATGTACATCAACTATTCCTCTTGGTGCCAAGAAAATTGTTCTAATGGCCTTCAGTCATATAAGACCTAAATCAGTGGAACTAAAAAGTAACACAGTGTTTATTTCTAAAGCAGGCAAGAGAATGTTTCTTATTAAAAAGAAAGTTTTCTTCTTTAAATTTAAGACTTTAAGGTATCAGGAATGAAATAATACATGACCTCATTTATCTTGCCTATTGGCATTTGGGAATAGAATACTTACCTTTGGATTTAAGGGAAAGTTTTAGTAATTAAGACTATTAAAAAGACCAAAGTTTGAGTTCTTGATCAATGTCCTGATGGTAAATAAGAAGTTTTCAAATTTCTGATAATTGCTTGAGCCACAGAATTTTAAAGGTGAACAAAAAGAGTGATAGGAAGAAAGTCAAAATGGCTGCATTAATTTGATAATTTATTTAAATTAGGCAATATAATTAAAATGTGAAATTTGGGGGTATCTTTATGTAGTAGTAAAGATAGTATTAGTTTAACTGAGAGGTAATTTAAGATGTGACCAAATATATGGTTAAAGAAATAGATAAATCAAGAATTTTAGAAAACACCATGGAGGTTCAGTGGGACTGTGTAATAACTGAAATGTTTGTTGGAATGTGTCAAGTTAAGCACCTTGGGAATGAGATGCCCTTGGAATCTGAGGGTTGTGCCTAAGCACTCAGCTCTGCTGTTTCTTGATTCCGATCTTGGACCTTTACAAACTTCGATTTTGTCTTCTATAAAATGGGATTTAGTGAAAATACTTACAGAATTACTGAAGTTTAAGTGTTATTATGCATTTGAAATATTTATATAATAAAAATGCTCTAAAACATTTTTAAAAGTTAGTTATGCTGCAGTTATCATTAGAAACAGTAGCAGCAAGAGTGGACCTTCAAAGTAGGAGAAAAAGTTGAATGAAAGAAAGACCTAAAGGGAAGATCAGAAGTCTGTTTTGCTAAACTGGGTCAATGGATTCTTACACCAAAAATCACTGTGTATTTTCTTCCTGTTTACTTAAAAAATTCAGACCAGACTAGGAATAGCTTGAGCCTTTACTTTACTCAAAAGGCTATCAAGCCCTGAATGGAGAAATAGAAAAGAGAAATAGAAAAAGTTATAAATTTGTTCTGAAAATCAAACCTTTCCTTCAAACAAAACATGACTTTTACTGCTCATCTATTGAAAAACTTGAGTTTTAATTATTTGCCCAAACAATTTCCATAGCTCATTTCTGTGAAACAGGTAAAATAATTTCATCAGGAAATGCTGATACTTGAAGGTGTGAATAAAACTGATATTCCTCTTTCATAGTAATAATTCGATAACCTGTGCCCATGATAAAATTGTAAATACTAAGTTGCATAACTATATGTCAAATTCTAGTGCCTGGCACATATTTATCTCAGAAAGTAGTGGCTGACATATGTATTAAAATTATATGGATTTATATAATGTTGGTTATTTTTGAAGAAAAGAATAAGAACAAAAAAATGTTAAGATTATACAGTTCAAGTCATGAGTTAGTATAGTACAAATAACCTAGGTGAGTTATTCAATATGGATAATATGACTCTTGTATCTGTATCTAAAAAAAGTTCAATCCATCTGCAAAATTTTGGGACATTCTGGGTATGTAGAATTCCTAAATGCTTGAAGGTCAACCCTTCTTAAGCATATTTATTATATTATTAACCTAATTTGGATGGAAATATTTTAAAAGCTATACTTAAATCTTTATCTTTTAAAATTTTCTGTGGCAATGTTTAGTCCTTGCTTCCTACTGGAGAAAATTCCTGGGGTGCCCCTGCCCTCTGACTCAGCCTCTCCAGAAGATGGGGAGGAGAAGCAGGAGCTTCATAGAGCTCCACAGGTAACTGTGATGCTCACACAGAGATTAAAAACCCTTCTAACTACTTGAATTACCCTTTTTCTTTGATTTAGCAAGTTACAAATGTTTTATCAGTTGCTTGTATTAGAAATTACTATAGTTATTATCAAACGATTCATTACTATAACCTACATATACTACATATATATATCCTCTATAACCTCTCTTTCTATAATATAAAAAATAAATCACAAAAAATCATACAAAATTAATAAAGTTCATTAGTGTAAGCTTAGTATAGGAAAGCTTTGGATGAAAGGAATTTCTCCTGTGTAGTGTGCAGTGTTGCTTCCTCCTGATATTTCAAGAAAAGAGTATCTCCTAACCAAGCACATTGGTAGATTTTAAACGTTTAGTAAAATTTTCCCCATAAAGATATTCTTCAAAGACAGTGATGTAAGTTGGATAATAGAATTCTGAAGAATATCTCATTAATAAGGTATATTAAATACAAAGTACGGAGCTAGAATAATTTTTTAGAAAAAAATCATTTCCTTTCCTTAGTTTCCCTAATGTGTGCCTAAGTATCACCAGCAGAACCTGTCAAAATGCTCCAGCTCCAGACCCCATCTTCATAGATTCTAACTTAGATCTAAGATGGTGCCCACCAATTCACATTTTAAAATAAGTAGCACTGCTGCTTCTGAGAGAGACAGCCTATGAATAATGTTTTCAGAAATATTCCACTACCAAAATATGTGGTGGAAACGGCACGGTGTTTCTGGCTTTCTAAGATTTATTACAAATACTGTTACATAGACACAAGACTCCCAGTATTCAACAAGAGGCTGCTATTAAATTGTCATATTCAAAAAAAGACCAGTTTTCTCAACAAGGTTTGAAAATATTAAAAATGAGAACATGATAAAATATGCCACATTTAAAATTATTGACAGCTTACATATATTTCTTTGTATAAAGAGTTTCTTTGGGATTAAACACAGTTTATTTATAATAATTTTTTGGGGGTAATATCTATTCAAAAATTATCTTGATATGATTAAACCTATTTTTCATATTTTTAATCCATTTTAAAAAGTAAAACACAATATAGGGAATAACACTAAATCCTAAGTTTAAAAATTCTAGGCTGTAGCCAATTTAAAATTTAAAATGAACATTTCCATAATACTCATTACTATTAAAATAGCAATATGTATCTATATACAAATAAATAAAACAAAAAATATTGAAATAAAGGGATAGGAAGGATAGAAGAATGAAACAGACATTATTACTTTATGTATATAGGTGACTGCATGACCAATGTGATTGTACAACACGTACACTCTGAAAAATGAGAAATTATATCCCATCTATGTATGATATCAAAGTGCATAAATGCATTCTACTGCCATATATAACCAATTAAAACAAACAAAGAAATTTTTTAAAAAATCCACTGAATCAACTGGTATTACAGTGTCAAAGAAGCAACTACTGTGAGGTTTACCCTGGAGGAAAATGTACAAATTAACAAGGCTGCCAAGTGCTAATTAGGCCTCCTTCCCAAAGTGTAAACTTGCACTGGCTATTGTCTTCTAGTGGACCTGTTTAACCACAATTACAAACAGGAAACTGCACAAATGCCATCATTTACCTCTATATGTGCAGGTAAAAGAGGAAACCTGTGACAACAAGCCAGGCCTCCTAAGCCACTGTAATATCTACTGACCACACAGCTGGAGGTCAGAAGCCTTCTGGATGGGGCTGTCTGCAGACTGTAAAGTATTTTTAACTGTCAGAGCTGAGATGGTGGCAGATTTGTCAGAAAAGAGAAAAAGGAAAATGGCTAAATGTTGCTGGGAAGAAACAACCATGAAGTCTTTAGTCTTTTCTTTCTTATGAATGTCTTACTACTTCCTCTCAAGAGTCAGGCATGCTTGCTGGACCCCTCTGGGCAAAAGACCTACAGGGAAGGGAAACATGAATTTCCAGGTGAGTCCCTGGATTAAGAAGGGGGAGGCTATTTCAAAGTGTGGATAAAACAACAGAGTCACTCTTGTTACTCATGATGCTGTGATAGCTAAGATGCCCTACTTTATTATCTGCATCCTGAGTATTTTAAATGTGTTAAATCCTTATAACTCCATAAAGCAGGAATGATAATTAATCCCCATGTACAGATGAGGAAATAGAACTTTGCCTAAAATCACAAACTTTAGACTCAAAACAGTCTAGCTCTGTACCAATAATGCCTCAAGAATTTTGCAGGATTGATAAGAAAGTATATTGCTGGACTGCAACAAATGAAGGCACAGGCTGCTAGAAAAAGTGTTAATTCAGCAGTTTTCCCTAAATCTCCAAAGCCAAACATCAAATTTAAGCACTGAAATTCTATTTTTTAAAAAAAGACCTCTTGAGGCAGCAATATATTGGGTTCTATCAAAAAGGAAAAAAGTCCATTTAAAAATTTTGAAAGCAGCTATTTCTCTTCTTAGTGTTGACCTAAGCCCCAGGTATCAGGAAATCCAATTTCCAGCACACCATAAGAGTGTTATTTTTAGCAGAACACTCCTGATGGTAATCCATTTTGTTGTTGTTGTTTATCATCCTAATGAGATAGCCCAGTTCATCGTGGACAGCTTTGATTGTCAGACATATTTTTCTTACAGGAAGTAAAAATCTGTGCTCTCATACCATCTACTTTCTAGACTAAGATAGCCAAAGGATTTCTCCTTAGTCTTTTTTATTTTATTTTATTTTATTTTTGTGGTGCTGGGGATTGAACCCAGCACTTGTGCATGCAAGGCAAGTACTCTACCAACTGAACTGCATCCCTAGCCCTCTTCTTAGTCTTTTGTTCCAGGCTTACCACCTCTGCTTTCATCACACATGGTTTTATACATGTTTTTTAAACCTTCACTTGTCCCTCACCCTTCTTTACTTTCTCTTGTGCTTCCCTGTATATCTTGGCTATTGTTATTACCAGAGCCTCTAATCAATCTCTGCTTTGCCTCAGCACTAATACTTCAGCTTCGCTCACAGTACTGGACTTAAGGGCTCCCACTGCTTAGGTAAGGGCAGGAGGTGGAAGCACTGTATTTTTCCTTCTGGAGGAAGGTTATATATTCCCAGTAACAGTGTTTAGAACTCACAATGTATTTTCTCATCAAAATCTGGGACAAGTGCCTGAAACAGTCCTATTAGATCATTACTTTAGGTATAATTTGGTTAAAATAGAATTTAGTGCTACCCCAGAAACTTCATATTTTAATGGAAATGTGTACTTTTTAACTCCAATTTCACTTCTAAAAACACTACTAGAGTACAGCTAATTGGCAAGAAAGAAAGTGCTTGGACATTTGAAAAAAATCTCAAAAAGTATGAAATATATCCAGTGAAGAAAATGTCATAGATGGGTCCCATTTTTGTCATATGAAACAGCCCTTTGTATTTTAGAAAAGAAATAAATGGGCAGAATTTAAACACAAAAGACAAGTGAGAAAAGAAAGGTTTTGCTTTATTTAGCCATCATAGAAAACACACTTAACTAATCAGAACTTATCCTAGGATTTAGGCTTGTATCAAACACAAAAAGAGTTTGTCCCTGCTTTGTGACAAAATTATATGGTTCCAATATTTCACTGTTGAAAGAGCTTTGGAAAAAAATGCTTCAAATTTGTTTCCATATAATTCCAAACTTAAAAATACAACATAAAGTCAGTTCACAAATATAACATTTTTCAAACAAGGAATAGAACAAAAAATAATTATTCCTTTTACTTCTGTTCCTTTGAGTTGAACTCCAAAAATAACAGAAAAATATTACCCTCAGTATACCCATATTGTTCTTACAATTGGTTCCTACTTACAATCTAGTTTCTAGTCTTGTATTTTTTTTTAAGAGAGAGAGAGAGAGAGAGAAAGAGAGAGAGAGAATTTTTTTTTAATATTTATTTTTCAGTTTTTGGTGGACACAACATCTTTATTTTTATTTTTATTTTTATGTGGTGCTGAGGATTGAACCCATGCCAGGAGAGCGCTAGTTGGCCACATCCCTAGCCCAACTAGTCTTGTATCTTAACATTCATTCAAAGGTCTTATTTTTTCCTGGAAGGATGAGGCAAGAGGATCACAAGCTCGGGGCAGCCTCAAAAATTTAGAGAGCACCTAAAGACCTAAGGATCTTAGTGAGGCTCTGCCTCAAAACAAAAAATAAAAGGACTGAGGACACAGTTCAGTGATAAAGCACTCCCGGGTTTAAGGTTTGATCCCTTGTATCAAAAAACAAACAAATTCTCATTTTTATTTTATTTTGGTCTATTACTCTCATATTATGTTGTTTGTCAAAGAAACCAATATCAGAAGTGGTTTCAATGTTATCATTTAAAAGCCTGTCATCATTAGAAAAAAGTTTAAAACTGAATTCTTCATCTAGGCACCTACCTGCTAAACTACCAAAGGTAAGCTTTCGTCGGCCCACCTTCTCAACGAGCCAGACTCCTATCAATGTGAAAATGAAGTTTGTGAAAGCTGTAACTGAAGCCAGCCATATTGCAAGTCTATCATCTTCCACACCAGACATCTGTAGAATGGTTGCACTGTAGTACCTGAAAGGCAAAGAATAAATCAATTGCTGCTGCTTATTCAAAGAAGCAAAGTTATTCAGACAGAAAAAGATTTAGCCACCTCAAAAAATAAAAAGAAAATCATGGCTAATACAGCAATAACATCAAGTTATCGAGGGAATTCAGACCAGTTATTCAAAGGAGCACAATTACAGAAACTGTGTTTAGATATATTTACTTTGTACTTTGTTACCTCCCGCCGCCCCCCTTAAAAAAGACACCTAAACAAATGAACAGAGGGCTGAAAGCTTCCTCAGTGAAACATACCTTACCCACCACTAGGGACAGCAGCAGCTGGTACTTTGACAAAAACTATCAACAATAAGCTCCAAGTCTGTGGTATGAATCAGCAATGAATTAATGTCCTTAAAAGAAGAAAATGACTCACAGCATATAATAAGAAATGCGATGTAATGGTAGAAATAAAACAAGTAAAGAATCTCTTCAAAGAAGACACAAGAAATAAGTTTGTGTGAGGATACATCTAGCACTGTGTAAGGAGATAAGAAACTGACTACTTGAGAATGGATTTGTGGTTCCTAGAAAGTGGAGTCTTTGGTGAAGTGAAGTCTCTAGCACATTCTGCATGACTAAGCTCTGCAGACTCATCTTGTGCTAAAAGAGTTCACTGGAGACTAGTTCTTAAAAGACCATCATGCCTGTTTGTTGGTACATAACAGAAAATACGTCTGGCACATTTAAGGATGACAGGTTTCCCATGGAACATTTCTTTTCTGGTAGAAATATCAGTAGCTATAGAAGCTCATTACTTTAAGTTGACCTGAAAAGAAAGATAAGTACTTCCAGTGATTGAGGATGAAATATGTAGAATTCACATCCTAAATACATAGTCTCAACCACAGCTTTGCCTAGCATTTCAAGCTATCCTAAAACAAGTTCACTTTATGCACACCTGACAGTAGTGGACATCCAAGCAATATGTGAGAGCAAGCTGGATATTCCATAGTTAAAAATCAGTAGCTTCCAGATATTTATCAATACTTCCATAGTACTTCAAAAGTAAAATCTATTTTAAATATGTTTAAGTCTCATTGATACATCAATGGCTTCTGTTTACTACTTTCTAAAATTAGCAATGATGGTTATTACATGAAATATTAACATGGACTCATTCATTTTGAGAAAAAAATGCCTTTTTTAAAAATAGTATACCACACTTAAAAACTACTATGCAGCATGAATGATGAGTTTTACAGAATATGAATTCTGACAACTGTTTTAAAAAAGGAAATTACCAGTGGAATCACACCCATCATCATGAAAATTCTGAATGTTCTGCAGTCAGAATGTGAAGTGATGATAAAAACTATGATACCAATCCATCCCAGCTTCCAAATCTGTATGCACTTTCACAAAGGCCTGCATAAAAGGTCAAACCTATGTGTGACCACTAAGAAATTAACATAAAAACAAGCCTGAAAAGGCAGAAAATAGGTTCAGAGATAATCCAAATATTATTTTTAAAGCCCAAATAATTTGATACTTGCCGTGTTACTAAATTTCAGAATCTCCCCAATGCTTTAGCAATAAAAACAGATACACTGCACAAACCGATTCTTAGAAAAGGAGTCATTAAAAAAAAAAAAAAAAAAAAAACCTAAAACCACAGAGGCTGTTTGATGTTTTTATTTTGATATAATAAAAATCATGAAATTCCAAGTGTTCAGCTAGGGGAGACAAATGGTAGTGGTATCAAACTAAGTTATTTTCTGTTTTATTTAAAATGAAAAATTACACAAGTATAAAAAACTCCTTTTGTGGTGCCAATGTTTTAGAGGCAGAATGCAAAAAAACAGTGTCCTGGGATTCAGAAAGCTGAATTCTAATGGCATCTCTGTGGTGTGCTGTCCAGGAAATATAATCCTTTATTCACTGAATATTTATTGAGTGCCTGCTGTATAAGCTACGTGAGTGATAAGATCCCACAGATGCTATCAGAGTCTGTTGCTGCCTTCAAGAGACTCAGTTTAGAATTGGAGAATGAAATGGAAACAAACTGGTTTTAATATCACAAGATGTACAAATTATAGTGTGGCATAAAGGACAGGAAAAAAAATGATTCATTTTATGGGATGGTTCCTTGATTTTCCAGGGAATCTAATCTTTGTGTTAAGCACTGAAAAATTCACATGAGTTGGCCAGTCCAGATGACAATCCAGGAAGGCAACCCAGGTGAAGGAGGCAACGTACTTCAGAGACAAAAGAGCACAATAGCATGCTGGGTTCACAGAGCCTGAGCATTTTACCTTGTCTGAACATAAAATACAAATAAAAGTAGAGGAGTAAGCAAGGGATTGTAGCAGAAGCTTCTGTGGAAGGGGCTCGGATATAATGCTTTGTGTTTGGGCTTTACTTTGTAGGCAATGGAAGATCACAAAATGGACTTCAGAAAGAAATAACAGGATGAAATCTCTTCTGTGAAAAGATCGCCCCAATGATAAAGCCAAGTGGGTGGAGTGGAGGCAGACTGTACCCAGGGGATATAGTCTTGAAGCCTATGTCAAGTCATCAGAGCAGCAACTGGCCACTGCAGATTATCTGTGATGATGGACACGGTGAGAGTGGGGCTGAGGTGCAACTACAACCCTCAAGATTTTCTTGAATGAACTACCCCGAGTTTTATCTTTATTTTCCTTTCTCTAACACCGGTAAATGTATTTTTTTTTAAATTGCTGCCATAACAAATCACCCCAAGCTTGTTGGCTTAAAACAACAGATTTACTATCTTACAGTTCTATAAGTCAGAAATCTGAAGAGACTCAGTGGATGTTAGAAACCAAAGGTATCATTAGGGCTGCAATCCTTTCTGGAGGATCCAGGGGTAAGCTGTTTCCTTGGCTTCTTCCAGCTTAGAGTTTTCCTATATTCTCAGGCCCCTGCCCAAGTCTCACTCATGTGGCTTCACTCTGCCTTCCTCTTTGTTTCCTTTTTCTACATTTAAGGGCCCTGGTGATTACAATGGGCACATTCAGAAAATCCGGGGTAATCTCTCTAATTAAGGTAAACTGATGAACACATACAATTCAGTCTGCCACCTTTAATTTCCCTGGGCCAAGTAACACAGCATATCCATAGGTTCTAGAGATCCTTGGGAGGGGAGATTCATAGGAACATATTCAAAGGTTCCATATATCTTTGCGGGGGGACATTATTCTGCCTATCACAGGAAAGGTGTTAGTAAACAATAAAATAAGCAAAAGGCCAACAATTAAAAGGAGAAAGCAAGTAATAAAAGATGAGAACAATGTAAAGGGCAATCAGTTCCAGAAAAAATCAGGCAACAACTGTATTCTCTTTTATAGGGCAAGGGATGACACATCTAGGTTAGAATAATTCACAAACCTTATTTTAAAAGTCAGGTCATGGAATTGCAGAAAGATATGTTTAACTTATATTTTAATATGTGTAAAATTCAGTGTTTTCATAAAAGGTTGGCCAATACCATCGCTTAAGTCATGGGCTATCACTATTTACCATCTTGTACACCTTTATGTAGTAGTCTGAATTTTCAAGGGAATGAGTATGCATTCAAAAGTTTCACAAAGCATAAGAGAACCTTCTTCATTAAAGAACAACATGAACAACTGAACAAAGCTTTCTTTTCCTGTTAGACTCAAAGCAGGAATGCCTGCTCTTTTTAAAGTCATTTCATAATATGGATCAGACACACTATCATCTTTTTAGAGATTCCCTGAGGCAACCTCTGGTCCCCTCCAACAAACCACCTCTCCCCAAGTTGAAAGGCTTAAGAGAAGTGTGTTCTCACAGAGACCAGCTCCACAACCCTTTGTGGAGGCTTAGGAACAGAAAAGACTGGAATTGTATGTGCACTGCTATCTCAGAAACTATGAGATACCCAGCTTCCACTCTCAAATTTTAAATCTAAGACATAATAGCCCTAGAAAATATGTATGCTTCAGTAATGATCACTTAGCCTCATGATGACTTTGAACTACAAATGAAAGAATTAACATGGGTACCTCATGCGCCTAGCAAAATACGTCTATTAATTCCTGTTCGAACAAAGCATTTCCTAGGAATTGCTGATTTTTTGGTTTCTTAAGACCATCGCCTATCCTTTTCCACTACTGCCAATATTACAGAGCTTAACAGCAAGAAGCAGGCACTCAGTAATTGTTGAATTTATTCGATTTGTCTGCCGCAAAATGTCAAAAAGGAATTAAGAATGTTTATAATCAAAAACTACCTGACAGAAGTGCTGTAATGAATGTTGATTGGTAGGAGAGAGTAGGAGACATAGAAGATGATCACATGAAAACTTTAGCTGCGTAACCACTAGAAGAGAGCTCTAAAATTCATGGCAGTCAAGGCAAGATAGTAAAGGACACTCTTAACTGTCTTACAAAATAAAAGACAAAACTTTACTGGCATGAAATTATAAAGACTTTAATATCATGAATAAAAGGGATATGGAACATACTCATCCTGACAGTGAGAGTTAAGTAGGTAAAATTAACTGCTGAAATTTAGTCACAAATAGTTTGATTTATGGGGCACACAGGTGTAATGTTTGAGCAGTATTCTAGAAACTTCAAAATAGTCATCTACTAACCTTGCCTTACTCAGCAGTCTTATGGGTCATGTTCACAGTGGGATAGAGGCCAAGCTAAATGAGAAGACTAGAATTTACAGAGTAGTTGAGTAAACATAAGCCCTTGGAGATTTCCATTATCTAAGTTATGAGGGTTTTTTTTTTTTTTTTTGGCTCTTTTAAGAGCTCCCAGTATTATAAAATACATTTATACTACATACCAAGGCACACTGACTACAGTATATAAAATGTCATCCTAATAAAAGTTCTTTTAAGTAAATTATATTTCTAAGTTATACAGTCAAAACATAGGTAACTATGGAAAACACATGAATGGTTTTAAGAGAAAAATGTTTTAACCAATGCAGAAAAAATCATTTTAAAATGTTTAAACATGTTTTCACGTATT